AGTAAAATAACCATAAGTTTCTGGAATTAGGTTCTAGACTTCCAGTCTAGGTTCACCCAGCAGGGCCAAAACCTAACATTGGACTAGTGTTGAATTCTAGCCTACGTTAATCGGTCCACCCCTGTTTAAGCAAAAGCTCACCTGCATTTGATTTCCCTTCCTATCATCCTGTTCCTGTCCTTAAACCCTAGACTATGCAACCCTATTTTTGGGGATTTTTTTGTTCATTGGATAAAATTTTTCTGCAAAACCCTAGTGAGAGACAGATACAAACTGTTTCGCCCTTTTACAACGTTAAAAGGCAATTCTTTAATTCCTGGTATAGAATTCAGAATTGGATTACTTTTGGGTGTCAATGGGTAGCAAGAAGAGAAGTAGCAACCCCGCGGAGGAGGATGGGGTGGCGGAGGATCAAGCAGAACTAACCCATAATGCGGTTTCGAGGCCTTTGAATAAAAAGATGAAGAAGGATGGTATTAAGAAAGATGAAGGGGGTGGTGGATGGAACTGCTGCGCCTTCATCTCTTCCTAGCTCCATTAAACCCATGGAGAGACAAAAGAAAAAGGAAAGCATTGGACAAAGAGAGACGGCGTTCGGCTTTAGAAAATAAAGAGTCTGAGCAAATACAAATGCAATTAGAATCGAAAGCTAATGGTATTCAGGCCCCCGTCTGTGGCATCTACATCTACTAGTGGTCTACCTGAGTTCCATATTACTGTTTTTCAGTACTTAGCCTCGGCTAATGCTTCTGTAAGAGAAGCAACAGTTGAAAGGTTGGTGGGAGAGTAGCAGGAGGTTCAGAAGGCCTATGACAGGCTTGACAATAAGGCCTTGGTTGAGGATGGAGCAAAACTGGAGGCCGAAAAGGATGGTGGCTTGACTAACTGTGTGCCGTCATTAAGATATGCTGTGCGCAGGCTTATCCTGGCATTTCTTCATCGAGAGAGGTTGATTAGTAATCAAATTTCTATATTTTTCTTGAATTATCATTTTGCCTAAAATGCATGTAATTTTATCTCATCCCATTCATGGAATTTCAATGTTATTGTCTTTTTGATGGTTTTGCCACTTTGGACAACTTGAAGTTAACTTGACTTCAACGTGTTGCATTCGGTCTTAAACGGCTAACTTTGGACCAAATAATCATTTGCTTTTGCTTTTGCTTTTGCAGTGTGCAAGATAAGATTTTGCATTGGGTTTGACTATCTTAGTTAGGTCCATTCCTAACATCAAAGTGGGTTCCTTGTTAAAACTTATAGTTGATCTCTTAGAAGTCTCTTCGTCAATGAAGGGTCAGGTCTGCACATTTGTCTCTAGATAATGTATTATGATCCAATTGCACAATACTCTGTTAATGGCTGCTTGATGGCATTGCAGGAAGCAAGGGATTGTCTGTTGGGATGCTTGTTTGAATATGGTGCTCTTGCTCAATCTGACAGACTTACTGAAGAGTGGGCTGCTGATAAAAGCACAGCAATGGAAGAGTGGGCTGCTGATTGGGTTAGGAATGATGATGTCAAAAGAGTTGCTGTTATTGTCACCTTACAGAAGCACAGCAATGGAAATTTTGATAGCATCACAAAGACAAAAACAGTCAAAGATTTGATGACAGAGTTCAAAACAGAACCTGGCTGCATGCAGTTTATTCAGAACTTAATGAATATGTTCATAGATGAAGGTCAACCTTTTGAGGAACCTTCTGATCAAAGTCAGACAACAGATGATAATTCAGAGGCAGGCTCGGTTGAGGACAAGTCTTCCAGTGGGATGATGGGGAGTTCTGATTGTTTGAAAAGTTGGGTTATAGAATCTCTTCCTAGCATTTTGAAACATTTAAAGTTTGACCCTGAAGCCAATCTTCAGCTGCAGAAAGAAATTTTGAAATTCCTAGCTGTCCAGGGTCTATTCTCTGGCTCTCTTGGAAATGAAGTCACATCATTTGAGTTACAGGAGAAATTCAGGTGGTCAAAAGCAGCTGCCTCAAGTGCCCTTTGCTGAATGTGCATTGAGCAGCTCCAGTCATTGCTGGCAAATGCTCAGAAGGATGAGGAGCCATGGTCTACGGCAAATGGCCTTGAGCCAAATGATCTTGGTTCCAACTTTGTGTGGTTCCTTAGCCCATTGCGCAACATTCCCTCTGTTTCTTTCTTCTGGAACTTGAGTGATGATGATGATGAAAAGGCCATCAAAAAATTGCAAGAAATGGAAACTAGACTTTCTAGAGAGGTAATTTATACCTTCCATGCTTTTGATTAATGTCCTTGACTTTGTGGTAAGTTTAACCTTCTTTTTCTATATTTCTATGCACTTGAACAATTCATAATTTTCATGTTGTATGTACTTGCTGGACATTACGATTGAAAGATTGAGAGATGGGTTAAAGTTGAGCCTTGTTGGCTCTGAGTGTATAAATCAGTTATTTTAGATAATTTCTTTTTTCATGTTCACTATGACTTATAAGTCTGATATTGTGTAAAGTTTGTTCCAATAAAATGTTTTATTCATGTGGTCGTTGTGCACTTAATAATATAACACTAATTGTCAAATCGATTGTCTTTTCTTTTTCATTTATTCAAGGAAGCAATCTCCAGCTTTTGAATGTTCCTATTTTGCAGGAAAGGAATTGTGAACCTAGCAGCAATGGAAATAAGTTGCATGCCTTAAGGCATTTGCTCATCCAATTGATGCTTCAAGTGCTTCTTCAACCTGGGGAATTCTCTGAGACAGCCTCTAAGCTTGTCATATGCTGTAAGAAAGCTTTTGCATCTTCTGATATTCTCAATTCATCTGGAGAAGATGAGTTGGGCGGTGATGCATTGCCAAAATTAATGGATGTCCTTGTGGATACTTTGCTTTTCTTGCTGCCACAGTCATCAGCTCCTATGCGATCTGCCATTGAGCAGGTGAGTGCTGCTATGGCAAGTTAAGGAAATTAGTATGTCATTTTCAAGATCAATCTTGTCTATTCTGCTATGGTCATATGTTCCTTGGTTTTACAACTATGTTATTTCCTGTGAATTCAGCCTGTCTTTACATTCTAGAATTGCCACTGTTTCTTTATCTATTCTTTTTTTAGGTAGAATATTTCTGAAAAATCTCTCAATTTATTTAAATCCTTGTCTGTCAGGTTAAGAATTTAATAAAGTGTATACAGTCTGCTGCTTTATTGATGTTGTTCCAGCATATGCCTTTTAAGTTGTACGTCTGTCTTTGGGAAGAAAAATGGGAAAGTTTAACTGAAGGTTTGATTGTTGTACTTAGTTTGTATGGTCAGCATTAAATATTTTGTGGATTATGATTTAAGAAGCTTTTACACTAGTAAATAAGAAACACATCATCTTGTTTATTGATGTTTACTTAATACTAATTACTGTCCATAGTTTTTAAAATATTTCCGTGATGTCTCAAATGATGGACTTCAGCAAATGTTGTGAATAATTAAGAAAGATCTAAAACCCACAGACATCATGACGAAGATAATGAGGATGATGATGAGGATGATGATGGCCTTCTGGCTATTGAAGAAGATGAGGATGTAGATGAAGCAGAGACTGGTGAAGCAGTCGAGAGTGATGAGCAGACAGATGACTCTGAGGCAGTTGTTGGAGCTGAGGAGGCTAGTAAAGAGCCAGATGCAGATGAAGATTCTGATGATTTTGATAGTGGAATGGATGATGATGCAATGTTTCGCATGGATACCTATCTTGCCCAAATCTGCAAAGAGAAAAAGAATCAAACTGGAAGTGAAACTGCTCAATCCCAGCCTATTGTATTTACGCTCCACATTCTTTCATTGCTGGAAATTTACTTGCATGAACATCGAGGCAAGTATTTTTCTGCTTCCATGGGGAACTCTTAGCTGAGGTCTCAAATAGTTAGCAAACATTTCATACAATCTCAATTGCTACTCTTGAGAACTGATTTGCTGCTGTTTCATAGAATGATAGAATCATTGCGTGTGTGTGTGTGTGTGTGTTAGCTGAGGTCTCAAATAGTTAGCAAACATTTCATACAATCTCAATTGCTACTCTTGAGAACTGATTTGCTGCTGTTTCATAGAATGATAGAATCATTGCGTGTGTGTGTGTGTGTGTGTGTAGGTGGTTTTGTAATTCATTTAAGTATGCTTATTGTGTTCACCGTCCTGATATATGCTTATGTTATGTTTTCCTCAGGCAAGCCCCAAATCCATACCGTATACTCAAACTTGGCCCAGGCATTTGCCAAACCAAATTGCACAGAAGGCAATGAATAACTTGGACAGCAGATATGGGGGACTCTTCAAAAGAAGATTTTCAAAGAGAAGAAGCTTCCAAGCGTTGAAACTATGCAACTATCAACTCTTGAATCTTTGTTGGAGAAAAATTTAAAGTTGGCATCAAAACCATTCAAGGGAAAGAAATCCTCTAGCACCCTATCCAAGAAGAAGCTGGCAGCCTTGCTGAACTGACAGAAAATGATTGTTTCCCTTGCCCAGAATTCAACTTACTAAAAAACTGAAAATCATCGATTCCAGAAATTTTTTCAGTTGCTGAAATACCGAGAGTTTGGGATATTTTGCAGGCTGCAATAGTTGGGTATTTTGACAGTAAAAAGTCTCAAATAAAATCCGGCGTCTCGAAAGAAATATTTCGAAGAAATCCAAGGATTGGGCATCATTTATGTGGCTTTATTTTAGAGAAATGTGCCAGCGCAACATCAGACTTCCGTCGGGTTGATGCTCTTGACATGGTAATTGAAATATTAAGGTCAGCAGTTCCTTCAAGTTCTAAAGACAGCAGCCATAATGCATCCAAGAAAATCATGAAAGGCCATCTGCAGTCTCTGAGCCATCTAATACAGGCATTGGTAATTAGGATGCCAACTAAACAGTCCAGACGAGCTGAAGTGCGTAAATTTTGTGGTAAGATGTTTGAGATGATATCAGCACATGACGTGATCAAGTCTTTTCTTAAACGTTTGGGAACGGATGCTTATACTGCGTGTGAATCTCAACTTGGTGAATTTTCTCTCAAGTTAAAGAGGTTGGAATGAGAGACCATAACATACTAGATATCTGAGACTGCAGATATACAACTGCGTTGGGGGTGTTGGGGAGGTGGGTGCTTCCTATTGCTTTAAGAGGATAGATGTGGTTGAGAAAGTCTAACAGTCTCTGTGATGGTTGGTCAGGGTAAATATCCTTTGACTCGCCGGTGAGATTATAGAAAGTCCTGTCTTTTGCTTTCTTTCAAGCTTTTTCCGTGGAGAAGAGGAATTCTTTTGAGTTTAGGGTTGATACACTGCCTGCCTCCACATCTCTGAGAGAATTTGTGTTGATTTCATTGAATTGAACAATTAGTGCCAACCTTTCTACAGATCAAACCATTCATCATTTTTTACTCATTGTAGAATAAAATGTGGACGGAGTTTTGGACTTTACAGGATATGTTAAATTTTCATTGCTTATTTTCTTCCTCTCATACTTGGTTCCCAGACGGCATATCCAGATCCTTCAATTTTCTTAGAGATACCATGATTCAGTTGGCTCATTCTTTGATCTTAAAATAAACATCAATTTCCTGAACAAACATAAGAATCAGTTCTCAAAATCTCAATTCCAAATTCTCCACAACCAATGCGTGACGTCTGATAGGGGAACATGGAAATAGATCAAATAAATGCAGATGGCTCCATTGATCAGGGAAATGATGTTGCATTAGTGTTAACTGTGTACATAAAAGTATTTCAAAACGCTCTAATTCTCCATCCTACCTATTCTCTATCCTTCTCTAACTGCATTTCCACCACCCTTCAGAGTTCTTCAAAGGCAAGCCCAGGTGCACATTTCTAATTTCACCAACAAATCTGACCACCACAAAGCCAAGAGACAACCTAAGTAACCCACCAATGTACAGACTTGTAAAAGAAATCCACAACAAACTTTCAATTGTTAGCAATGTTAGCAAAATCTAACTCCTCATCTAAATCTCCCAGCCTCCTGCAGAGCCATCAAAATTTCCCTTAAATGGCATTTGGACAAATAGCTCATCCTTCAAATTGAGGCCTAGGACTGAGCATCATCGGTATCTGAATCACTCCCGGAGGAACTCCCAGAATCCGAATCTGCAAGAACCTCCCATAAATAAGCATTTCTCCATCAAGTTTAATTTTTTATTTCGTTTTTGGATCAACAGTTTCAGAGTTTAGAATTGGGTAAATACCGCTAGATAAAGATGAATCACTGCTTGAACTGCTGGAACTGCTAGAACTGCTATTGGCTCGTTCGTTGTCCTTCTCAATCTCCACTGGTGGAAAACTACTCGTAGGCAGTTCATCCCCAATATCCACATCTTCCTCACCTGCATCACCTTTCTTGGGCTTCTTTGTCTCAGGTGCAACCTCGATTTTCTCCACGGAGACCCCCTAAATAACATCATTTGCAAGTCAGCAAAACTAATCCTACAAAATTGACACAATTTGAACAACATATTGGGTAAAGAACCAGCAACAACAATGTGCTTACTCTTTCGGTTGCGTTAGCAGCCACATTGTTACCCATGAGAGCCTGCCGCTTAATCTTGCTCACCATCTTCTTATAGTTAGTCACGAACCTATCCAACTCCCAGAGAGTCTCTGTGTCAACTGCTTCAATGTCTAGCTCTATCTCATCTCCCTCCTGCCTCAAATGCCCATTCCTCTTCCTTATAATCTGCACCACATTCTCCATCTTCTCTTGGGGCAAACTCTGCAATCCAAGCCCAAGCTTGTGCTTCTCCTCCAAGCTCATTTCTCTCTTGTTTGGATCCTTTGCCTTTGGCTTTGGTTTCTTAACTGACTTCACTGGAGGTGCCTTCACCGGTGACTGCACTGGTGCTGGCACCTGAACTTGCGGCGGTGGTAGTGCGTTCTGGTTCAACCCAGAACCAGCAGCAGCTCCCATTTTGTTAGATCTAGCCACAACACCGACTGAATCACCACGGTCCTTCTCCCTATCTCTTTCCCCATCTTTCTTCAATCTATCACCTTCAACACGATCCCAAGAACTAGCCTGCAACTCTTCCTCAAAATAAGGCTGCTCTTGCGGCTCCTGTTGCTCCCACAACTTCTCATTCAACGGGCGGAACAACTCCTCAAATTTCCCCAGCTGCTGCTCCGCCAATATGTACACCTCGTGCCCTTTAGGGTTATACAACATGGCATTATTGAACGTCAGCCTCACATCATCTGCAAATTCCAACGGCGACCTGTAAAAATTCTTGGTTATCCTCGATTTAACGGTGCCCAGATCCATAGGATTCTTGATTATGTCATAGTAATCGTGAAGGCCCAGGCCAACTGTATCCACAGGCGTATTGAAGATGTACCCATGTTTGTGCTTCATCAATTTGCTCAAAATTTGACCGCAAGTTTTCATCGAATTATCGGATCTCTTGCCGTTATCTTGAGGATTGTGCCGCTTCGTCTCCTTGCTGAAATTCGACGGCAAAGGTCTCTTGCTGCCCGAGACTTTCTTCGTGACGGATTTGTTGTTGGAGCTGGATCTGGCCTGAAAATCATTGGATTCAATTCGATTCCTCAGTTCACGAATCTGCTCCAGCTCCGATACCAACTGTCCCTTGAGATCATTCAGCTGCTTCCTCGAGAAAGACTTGAGATTGAAGTTCAGGTACGCGCCGGCGCTGAAGTCATTCAGCTTCCGATTAATTGACGACGCGTCATCAGAAGCTGCAGATTGCGTCACGACGGGCGAATCATCGAACAGTGGACCAGCCGCATCATCGACCGCCAAGTGCTGCTGGAATTGCCGCTTCTTGGCGGATTTAGGGTTAGGGTTTGGCTTCGCCGTTGCAAAGGTACCGTTTCCAATGAATTTAGCAACGCCGTTCTTCGGCTGCTGCGGCCAATTCGAGTCAGTCTGATTCGCCAGCACCGCCGATGCCATCAATTAAGGGAAGCCGGTAAGCTCACGGCGTAAGGTTCCCGAGTCAATCGAACACATAAAACCATCAAAGATCTCGAAATAACCCACACGCGCCACCAAAAATTCCTCCACGCGCCACCAGAATCCACAAACAAGATTATCAGAAAAAGAATCGACGAAGAAAAAGGGAGACAGAGTAGGGTTTGGTATTTAACCCTTGAGGAGAGAGCGAGGAACAAGAGAAGGGGGGGTCGGTTCTTAAAGGCGACGAGATCTGCCCGTGGGAACTTCGGGCAGCATCTGACCAGTTGGATAAAGGTGCCGCTTCGATCTGACGGTTGAGATGACTTTGAGTGTAACCGGGGAACTGACCGGATGATCTGGTGTGAACGGTGGAGATGTGTCGAGCGGAACACGTGGAGCGATCGTAAGCAGTTGGATTGGAATCCGTAATGTGCATTTGGGTTTAGGGTGAATTTGGGGTGCATGTAGCGTGAATTTTGGGTATTTGGGAGGGTTGGGGCCCACTGGGGGCTGACATGGACCGAGAGCCAACTGCATGGTCCGACTTAGGGCCGGATGCCACACGGCAAGTGAGAGAAAAACGCGTGGGTAATAATGGAGGTGATTATTGGATAATTGAAAATTACTAATTTACCGATGAGTAATACAGTGGGAAAAATTAACCAAAACTTACCGGGCATGTTTGTAACTCTTACGGATTATTTCATTATCTTAAAATAAATGTAATTTTTTTGTTTTTAAAATAATATAAATAATTAAAATTAAGAAATAAAAATATTTATTTATTATTAAAATAAAAAATAATTATTTTGTAAAAAGTTTTGATTTAAGAAGATTAGCAATTTTGAGATCGAAAATAACCAAACATGAGTGAAGTTAATATATTGCAAAAGCTAACGAACCTAAATAACTAAAAGTAAAAGATATTGAATTTGAGTTTTATAACACATAAGTAGTATGAGTTAAGGGATAAAAAATAATTTTTTATTATGTAATTTAAAATAAATAATGAATAATAAATTGTGAAAAAAAAATATAGTATGTTCTTATAGAATAAAACATGAGAGAAGATAATATATTGCAAAAATAGAAATGAAAATAATTGAAGGCGTGCTAACGTAATTGATAAAAAAATTTGTTTTTT